TGGCTCTGAATGTAGAGCAGATCGTCCTTTAATCACCAAATCCTGCTAAATGCAACTTACCGGGTCCATTTAGTGATATGTTTGATATTAACGCTCCATAAAAATGACAATATAATGTGAAAGTGTTGTTGGTACTGCTGAACCCAGTGAGAGTGTACTCTCATCAGTCTGTCCGTTAAATCCTTTGTGTTTTCATTGTTTGCTTACTGTCTTCGGTGCAGATTGTGGCGACTGCGGTGTGCCATTCTGACCTGTACCACCTGTTGGAGAGTATGCATGAAAATGGCTTCCCAGTAGTCCTCGGCCACGAGGCAGCCGGCATTGTAGAGAGCGTCGGACCTGGAGTCACTGAATATCAGCCAGGTCAATTGCGAATAGTAGAATATTTTGCAATAAATGCTTATTTGCTTTCTTTACAAGAGTGAGATGAGAAGATTGATATGTTTCATGTCTGTGTGTCGAGTACGGAGCTTGGACGTGTTTAGCTTAGCATAGCTTAGCTTAGCGTAAAGTTTGGAAACAGCTAGCTTAGCTCTGTCCAAAGTTCAGAAATAAAGGGACATAGCTGTCAGGTTTTGTTCAATTCCATTGTTTTCCACCATAATGAAAGTTGGAGATTAATCTGACTATAACATGACAACATTGTTTTTGTCTTTCAGGAGACCACGTCATTCCTGTGTTCATCTCCCAGTGCAGAGAATGTCGCTTCTGTAAGAGTCCAAAGACCAACGAGTGCGAGAGAGGATGGTGAGCTAAATAAGCACTAATACACTCTTCTGTCTCAACTATTGATTTTATTCCTGCTGGGTATGTTCTAAAGGTGTGTCCAAACACTTCTAGACAATGTATTCAACAGTTCTCTATCAGTATAGATGTTACAGGAGAACAGGGATTGGAGCTAAATGCAAACAGTTGTAGGCAGCAAAATGAATTCAGTGGTTCATTGTAAATGGCTTAAAGGCCAAATTGCAGGTAGGTAACGGGCAGACGGAACACAGCATTGCCACAATGATGACTCAAGCGAGTACCCTCAACGAATGACTGCGATATGTCAGGGTGGCTCCCCGAACAGTTCTTTGAAGGCTTGGAGGATGTGGGCAGCTGCTTCGCCAAAAAGCAGGAAAAGCAGGATCTGGATAGTCGGGTAGCAGGAAAGTCAGCTCAAGACAGGAATGTAGTGGACTAGCAAGCCTGCTAGACCACTACATTCCTGCTGAGGGCTGGGAACCTGGAGCTGAGACTCAGGAGTGTTGGGGAAGTCTGTGACCTACAGAGATAACAGGTTTCTCAGAGAAAGCTTTGAGGACACCACACTGCGTTCCACAGAAATGCAGGATTCACTATTACGGGCCTTGTTCCAACAATCTCTGAGGCAAAGGATAGTAGAAATCTGCTTGCATAGTAAATCAAAAAGTGTTTGTTGGGTCCAGGACTGGTCAGATCACACAGTTGGTATGCAGAGATGATTAAAGAATTGGGAACAGGTGAATGGATGATGACGATGGGGAGAGCAGGGAAAGTCCCAGATCATTAAGTGGACGGATAGAAAATGGTTTAATTTGAGGAATGACAAACATGTCTGCAGAGGAGGGACATGTGTGACGGTACCAACTTTAGTTGCTGACTGATGATACCACAGGACCAATAGTTTAGATCTTGTTTTTATTTTATGCATCTTGCAAATATTTGTTGAACCATCTAATTCGTGAGAGCAGCGCTCAAATAGTTTTTCAGTTTTTTTTCACATCAAAACATTGTCTTGTTCAGGTGCGTTGGTCGTCTGCAGGAAATGTCACCATTAGACTCCAGGTTCACCTGTAAGGGAAAGAAGGTGCTGCAGTTTACAGGAACCAGTACCTTCTCCGAGTACACTGTGGTCAACGAGATGGCTGTGGCTAAGATCGACCCTGCTGCCCCTCTGGACAAAGTCTGTCTCCTTGGCTGTGGGATCTGCACAGGATACGGAGCAGCAGTTAATACTGCTAAGGTGTGTCTGTTTGACTAGTGGGGATTGCTTACATCGTTATTTCAAATTATAACAGAATGATGCCTTTTGTGTTAAGTGCCTGTATATTTGGAGAGACCTTTCGATTGATGAATACAGTATGGCGCACAACCTAGTCCGACCTACATGTGTCTCGATGTGTTCTGGTTTCTCTATGAGCCATGTTGACTGAACTCTGTTGTATCGTAGGTGGAACCGGGCTCCACATGTGCTGTGTTCGGCCTGGGAGCTGTGGGTTTGGCTGCAGTCATGGGCTGCAAGGCTGCAGGAGCCAAGAGGATTATCGCAGTTGACATCAATCCAGAGAAGTCTGAGAAGGCCACGGTGTTCGGAGCGACCGACTTCGTGAACCCCAAGGATCACAGTAAACCCATCAGCCAGGTGCTGTCCGAGATGACCAACGGAGGAGTGGACTTCTCCCTGGAATGTGTCGGGAATGTGGAAGTCATGGTAGGGAGATTTGATTTCATATGGTTCCAGGATATATTGAAGAGGTGTGACCTAACTATCAAAACAGTGTCCTTTAATCTAATCAAAGTAAACTGATCCAATTCCTTCCATTGACGAATTCACCAAGCCCACATTTCCTTAGCTAGTCCAAAGATTTGGACCAGCGCCCTTCTGGTAAAAAGACCACTGACTTTGCGCTGTTTCTCCATCTAGCGCAGTGCCTTGGAGTCCTGTGTGCAAGGTTGGGGCGTCAGCGTGATAGTTGGCTGGACAGACAAAGAAGATTTTTCTGCCCGACCCACTCAGCTCATCGCTGGACGCACATGGAAGGGCTCCGCGTTTGGAGGTGAGACAGATATGACCATCACTCTGGTAACTAAATGGATGTGGGCTAATATTCTGCAACTCTCTAGTTAGTTTCATTCTGGATACTCTTTGCTGAAGTGATTGTGTGCCTCAGGCTTTAAGGGTAGGGATGCCGTGCCACAGATGGTCAAAGCCTACCTGGACAAGAAGTTGATGGTGGATGAGCTCATCACTCACAACATGACTTTGGACCAGGTCAATGAAGCCTTTGAGCTGATGAAGCATGGCAAATGGTAGATGTACACTCCCATTCTTTCTCCTCCATTCATGACTCAACAATAACACAGATCAATAAAAGGTGCAGGTCTCCTCATTTCT